TGTTATTGTAGTTGGATTTAATTGTATTATATGGATTATTGGTTCACATTATTTTATGTTGTGATTTTGTTGAATATTGGTCTGGTGACCATTTTGATTGTGCTTTCAACCTTTCCCCAGACGTGCATTGGCTGATACCACAGAAATTTGATACAATGATAATGTGCAAATGAACATTTGCATATTGCTGTATTGAATAAATTTTAAATCAATCATATTTAACATCCTCATATTAAAACTGAATGTATTGCACAAATGTACAAGACTTTTTATACTCCATAGTGTAAAAAACAATCTTCTAATGTACCTAATAATTGAGTTAATAATTTTATCACATTATTTATGGATTTATGAAAACCCTTCAAGATCTATAATTGTGGTTATTTATGCTTCGTTGCAGTGATTTTGTATCAGACTTTGATCTCATGATTGCAAGGAAGAAACAAGAAAACAAGTCAAGGCGGCGTAAGCGAAGAGGAGATGATATTATTAATGATAATGATGATATAATTATGGCTATGTTAACACGCATGAACCAAGCAGCAAAGGTATCTGAATTTACTGTGGTGACTGTATGTCAGCTTACTCAGGTTGTTGTCATGGCAATAGGTCAGCTTACACAGGTTGTTGTCATGGCAATAGGTCAGCTTACATAGGTTGTTGTCATGGCCATAGGTCAGCTTACATAGGTTGTTGTCATGGCCATAGGTCAGCTTGCACAGGTTGTTGTCATGGTCATAGGTCAGCTTACACAGGTTGTTGTCATAGGTCAGCTTACATCGGTTGTTGTCATGGCCATAGGTCAGCTTACACAGGTTTTCATGGCCATAGGTCAGCTTACATAAGTTGTTGTCATGGCCTTAGGTCAGCTTACATAGGTTGTTGTCATGGCCATAGGTCAGCTTACATAGGTTGTTGTCATGGCCATAGGTCAGCTTACATAGGTTGTTGTCATGGCCATAGGTCAGCTTACATACTGTAGGTTGTTGTCATGGCCATAGGTCAGCTTACATAAGTTGTTGTCATGACCATAGGTCAGCTTACATAAGTTGTTGTCATAACCATAGGTCAGCTTACACAGGTTGTTGTCATGGCAATAGGTCAGCTTACATAGGTTGTTGTCATGGCTATAGGTCAGCTTACACAGGTTGTTTTCATGGCCATAGGTCAGCTTGCACAGGTTGTTGTCATGACCATAGGTCAACTTACAAAGGTTGTTGTCATAGGTCAGCTTACACAGGTTGTTGTCATGGCCATAGGTCAGTTTACACAGGTTGTTGTCATGGCCATAGGTCAGCTTACACAGGTTGTTGTCATGACCATACACAGGCTGTTGTCATGGCAGTAGGTCAGCTTACATAGGTTGTTGTCATGGCAATAGGTCAGCTTACATATGTTGTTGTCATGGCCATAGGTCAGTTTACACAGGTTGTTGTCAGTATGCCTTAGATTGACTTGTGTACTCTGTGTGAGTGTGCCATAGATTGACTTGTGTACTTTGTGTGAGTGTGCCATAGATTGACTTGTGTACTTTGTGTGAGTGTGCCATAGATTGACTTGTGTAATTTGTGTGAGTGTGCCATAGATTGACTTGGTGTAATTTGTGTGAGTGTGCC